AAGGGTCTAGGCCTGAAATGTCAGCTTTCCTGCTCCTCTGATGCTGCTTGGCCTGCTGTTTTCATCCAGCTCTACACCTTGTTATCTCAGATTCTCCAGCATCTGCAGTTCCTACTATTTCTGAAACAATTCCATCCTTAGATTCCATTTACACCTCTCGCTGCCACGGAAAGGCTGCCAACATCATCAAAGACTCATGGCACCCAAGTAATGATCTCCTACAACCTCTTCCATTCGGCAGAAGATACAGAAGCCTGAACACATGCACAAGCAGGTTCACAAACAGCTTCTTCTCGGCCATTATCAGTCTGATGAACGGACTCTCTAGACTCAAATAATGCGGATCTTGCAAACGTTGATCTTGCCTGGTGCACACCCTGTGCAATGTAACCTGTATGCTTCTATCTAAGTCTTTTTTGATCTGTACATCCTTGCTTACTATGATCAGCCTGTACTGCTCGTAAACAAAGCTTTTCCTTGTACTTCAGTACACATCACAATAACTCGATCAAAGGTCTGATAGATGAAGACAAGTATGTTAAATGCCTTGTTAACCACCCTATCCCCCATCACAAACTTCAAAGAATTATGTACCCAAACCCCTAGGTGTCTCTGTTCTACAATACTAGCCAGGGCCCTACAATTAATTGTATATGTCCTGTCCTTGTTTGTTTTACGAAAATGTAATATTTTGCTTTTGTCCAAATTAAACTCCATCTGCCACTCCTCAGCCTATTGACTCAATTTATCAAGATGTCTTTGCAATCTTAGATAACCTTTTTCACTGTCCACTATGTCGCCAATTTTTTGGTGTCATCCGCAAACTTACTGGCCATGCCTTCTATATTCTCACCTAAATCATTTATATAATTAACAAAGCAATGAAGCAAGCATTTGAAATTCTTTCTCAACCACCATGTCTACATGTGAAGCAAACTTCAATGTGCAAACTCCATCTGCCACTCCTCAGCCCATTGACCCAATTGATCATGATCTTTTTGTAATCTTAAATAACCTTCTTCACTGTCTGTTCTGCCACTAATTTTGGTATCATCTGCAAACTTACTAACCATTGCCTCCTAAAGCCTCATCCAAATTGTTTATATGAAATATGGACCCAGTACCAATCCCTGCAGAACACCACTGGTCACAGGCCTCCAGTCTGAAAAACAGCTTTCCTCCACCACCCTTTGTCTTCTACCATCAAGACAATTTTGTATCCAACTGGTAAACTCATCCTGAATCCCACGTGATCTAACTTTACTAATTAGTGTACCATGCGGAACCTTATTAAAGGTTTTACTAAAGTCTAGGTAAACAATGTCTACCACTCTGCCTTCATCAATCTTTTTGGTTATTTCCTTAAAAAAACTTGATCAAATTTGTGAGACATGACTTCCATCCAACAAAACCATGCTGAATATCCTTAATAATTCTTCACTGTTCCGAATGCATGTAAATCCTTTCCTACATAATACCTCTAACAATTTACTCACCACTGATGTCGGGCTTACTGGCCCACAGTTCCCAGGCTTCTCCTTACAGCCTTTCTTAAATAAGGGCACAACACTGGCCACCCCCAATCCTCCAGCACCTCACTCGTGGTTATAGATGAAACAAGTATTTCTGCCAGGGGCCCCGCAATTTTTTCCCAAACTTCCCACAACGTCCTGGAACATACTTGATCAGGTCCCAGAGATTGTCAGGATGTTATTGGTGCTGCAAGGATCAGTGCTGGGACCTCAATGACTCACAGTCTATATCAGTGACTGAAATGAAAGGGATACAGTGGAATTGTCCCAGTTTGTTGATGATACAAAGCTCAGTGGGAAAGTAAACTGTGAGGAGGATACAGAAGCTGCAAACAGGGATAAGCCGTATAATGGTTTGGGCAATAACGGTGATGGATGATGAATAAAATCTGTCCAATTTGGAAGAATAGAGAAGAATCATAGAATCCCTACAGTGTGGAAACAGGCCATTCAGCCCAACAAGTCCACACTGACCCTCCGAAGAGCATCCCACCCAGAACTATCCCCCCCACTGTTTTCCCTGTAACCCTGCATTTCCCATGGCCAGCACATCTAACTTACACATCCCTGGACACTATGCACAAATTAGCATGGCCAATTCACCTAGCCTGCACATCTTTGGACTGTGGAAGGAAACTGGAGCACCCAGTGAAAACTTACACAGACACTGGGAGAATGTGCAAACTCCACATGGACAGTGGCCCCAGTGTGGAATCAAACCCAGGTCCCTGGCACTGTGAGGCAGCAGTGCTTATCACTGAACCACCGTGCTGCCTTAAATACTTTTACAAGTTGAAAGGCCAGTGAATGTCATTCAGAAGGATTTGTAGGTGAATTACCAAGTTAACATGTTGGAATTGCATGGTGGCCTTTATTGCAAGTGGGTCAGAGGAAGGAGATCTTGCTGCATTTTCTGTCAGATATGGGTATGACCCAACCTGGAGGACTGTGTACAGTCTTGGTCTCCTTCATTAGACAGAGTACTGCAATGAATGGGCCAATACTCACTGGAGTTCAGAAGAATAAGTGATTTTGTTGAAACTGAATATTGTGAGGGGTCTTCTAAAACAGAGATTGGGAGGAATTTCTTCTCTCAGAGGGTAGCGACTCTGGAATTCTTTATGGCAGAGTGATGTCGAGGCTGGGTCATGCAGTACATATAAGGCTGAGGGAGACATTTTTTAATCAATAAGGGAATCAAGGGTTTTAGGGAAATGGCAGGGATTAAAGGATTTCAGATTAGCCATGGTCTAATTGATCATTAGGCAAAATGACCAAATTCCGCCTCTACATCTTATTGTACGGTGTAGATTGTGTCCCTCCCTCACCACATCCGGCTGATTGAAATTTTGTCCGCCATGTGGTGGTGGATGCTACATCATTTAAATCTCTTTCAGTTTGAGATGGACAGATTTGAACATTCGCATCCTTTTTCAAATCTCTCCATGGCCTCAGCCCTCTCTATCTGTAACCACCTTCAGCTGTACAGCCCTCAGATCTCTGTGCTCCTGTATCACTGAGATTTCCATTCCTGCCCCATTGGTGGCTGTGCCTTCAGCTACTGAGCTCAGAAGCTCCATAATTCCCAACCTAAACCTCTTTGTCTGTGTTTCTCTCCCTCTGTGTCCCTCTATCTCTCCTGTTTCTCTTTGTTCTGTTCCCTCAGTCCTTCAGGATTCAATCAGTGGGAAGCCCAGCTTGGATTTCCTTGTTCCACACAATATCCACATTTCTGTGCTCATTACCTTTCCCCACATACACCCCTCAAAGTGGGAGGAGGAACTACTGCAGGGTTGTCTCACACCATCCTCTGGCCCTCCCTCTGTCGGTCAGCACAGCTCCTGTGGAGTGTCCAGCTCTTGCCCATTGCCTCCCCATAAGCCTCCTCTCCTCTACACTCTGTGCTCCATCACTGTAGAGCTCCTGTCACCCATTTTCCAGCTACCAATGGTCCCAGCATGGTGAGTGTCATTTAATGGGTGTGTGCTCCTGAACAGCTCCTTTACACATGTGCTCAAAGTGTTGGATTCAATTAATGTAGCCTGTACACTGCTGGTTTCTCTCTCATAGGAAACAATATTGACAAAAGATGGATCATATTGAAAAATCGAATGGTGATCCTTTGACAGTGGTGACCTGTTCAGGTTAAGCACGGAACCTTGTGCCAACAACACCTGAGCATCAGGATGGAGCAACTGGAGAACGAACCCTTCTGGGGAACCGGGCTGTCCAGCACTAACTGAGTTTGCACTGCACTGAGCCTGGGTCAGGGAGGGGGAAATCAGTCCAGTATTGTGGGGATCGAGTGATTCCTGCTGGAAAGTCTGAGCATAGGATTGGGATCAAAAATCACTTCCTACTTTCTACAAACCCTTCTGAGCAGCATCATCATTCCCCACTGGAAGTGCTATCCATTTACTGAAAAAACTGTCCCAAGTATTTCATCCCCAGCTTCATATCTCATTTTTCCTGTTACAGACTGTGTCCAAACTCAGTGTCAGGGTCTTACAGGATGACCTTTAACTGTGTAACCCATTGATCGTTGCCTGAGAGGTAATAACTTATGAACTATCATTGAGTAAATGGACACATCAGGAAGTTTCTTAATTTGTTAACTTGTTCTCAGTGTGGGTGATGCTGTCAGGGCTCCATTTATTGTCCATCTTGCCTTGCCCCACTGCAATCCTTATAGTGATGGTGCTCCCACAGTGGGGAATATGGGAAGAGGCTCAACTCTGCAGCAGCATCTAATGGGCAAAGCCAGGAACTACATTATAGGGAAACAGGAGGCTGGAAGAACACAGCAAGCCAGACTGGAGGAAAGCAGAAGTCTACATTTCGGGTATTACACCTCTTCAGGACAGGATGCAGTTATTTTGTCTCTAACCAGGAACTACATTATTACTAGCCACTGTTTCATATGCAGAAATCAGACTCTG